CATACCCATAACATTATCCAAAAGATATTTTGAGATTTTTCTTTTGTCGATTCGGTTTAAAAAAAAACCTTTCATCTTATTTATTGGACCAATCCGGGTCAAATTTGATCATATCTTATATCAAAATAAATCTGGAACTTAAAGTCATGCTTTAAAAAATACAAAGAGATGTCAGATTTCAGCAACCAAAACAATTCATTTTTTTTTTTACACAAATCGCGCCGAATTCGAATAGTTTTCTTTGGAGTGTAGGAAAAGCCTCACTAATATAATATAACACCCACCGACTAACACAACTTAGAAAGCTACTACTTCCAGGCACAATAAAGCTTAGGAACATTGAAGCGATTATTACAGGGCTAGTACACTTAGGATCCCACCAACAGAAAATGTGAAAAATGGATTCGGCGGAATGCAGAGCATGCGTGGAGAATGATGAGAGGCTGGAACATTATATAATATATGCGAATGCCAAACCATCAGCTGTATGAGAAGGGACATATTCCATGGCTCTCAATACTCTAACTTAGGAGACGTTGAGCAGCTGCAATGGAAAATACGCAGGTTTTTCACCGGATTCACGGAGTTTTTGGCTAAAGCTTAAAGTGGTTACCACATAGAAGCACAGTGGACCTAAATATGACTCGAGTGTGATCACCTATGCAACCTTCAACACAGCTCAATTTTATTAGTAATAGAATTAATTTGTTATTTCAATACTGAAATATAGCATATAACGCAAAAGGCTCCCTATTATGAGTTAAAATTTTCTCTATGGCATTTTAAGCAAAAACATATTTCCGCGAACTAACGACTACTATTGAATGATTATGATATAAGTACAAATTCAATGAATTGTTTCTTCGGCACTCAAATCAAATTTCATTAATATATCAGGTATGTTGCTTCCAGGAAAGAGTCCCCAATTAATCTGCATAATCTGAAATTTAATGAGAAATATATTTTGCCAAAAAAAGTTCTCCAATCACATTCAAAATTGTGGTATCATATGTTCGACCTAAAAGTTAAATGTGAGGGCAGGAATGCTATTCCCTGAATTTTTTAAAAAGTTGTAAATTTCGTTGTTTTTCTCCAAAGTATTTGATTTTGCTTTTTATTTTTATTTTTTGTGTATGGTGTTTTGTAAATATAATGCAATGTTGAAAGGTCTTTACCAATTTTTGTTCTCTCAATCGAATTTATCGAATGTAGTATGTTACAAAAAGCTTTTCAAATCTTTTCAGAATTCGGTTTGAACACAAGATCATTCGTTCCAGAAATAGTACAGAGATATTYAAGGAAGAGTTTAAAACCAAGCAATTAGTTTTCCCAGAAATAAAGTATGGAAGGCATAATTAATAAAGAAGAATTTGTTAATAAACATTAAAATTATTGCCGAACCTCTCCGACTAGCACAATTTTCAAGAGCGCGTCAAGGTACACGTATTAAACTCACGCTCAGGCTCGCCAAAAAATTTCAAGCAATGAGCTTTTAATTATTGCGATTAATATAGAAATACATAAATCCATATCCAACTATCCATATGAACATTTATCTAATCTATTATACTGAAGTAATAATACCGGAAACGCAAAACGCGCTCTCTTCTTCGACAAATATTTCCAAGAACACGCGGCTTACACTGAATGACTTATGCCATACAATTTCACCGGATTAATTTCATCAAATTTAATTAGTACTTACAGCGCTTCTAGGAAAGCAGACCGAACATTTGATAGCAGTGCGCACTATTGTAGGCCAAAAGGTGATTCAATAGAACAAACCTTTCATAAATCAATATTTAAATGCTGGGAAATAATACGATTATCTTCGATATATCGAAAAGCATTTTATTGTTTTTTTTTTTATATTCTTCATTAAGATCTATGTATATACTTTTACAAGCGTTTGAACTAATTGTCGAAGCACTGCTGCCACTCTGGTTGAGGTATCCCGATAAAATGCGGCCCTACAGGTGTCGAAAGACGTAGACCTCTCAGTTTATTTTTATCGTATGTGATGTCATCCAGTGCCAAGTCAGTACCAAATGATAGATAACTCATCAAATCTCTCATACATGGTGTTCTTTTAGACAACGTGTGTGAGCTCGCTTTGTCGTGGTGAAGAGTGATTCGGCTTCGTAGATTGGTTTTTCTGATTTCTTCAAAAACTACTGACAACAAATGGTTTTGTTTCACTCAAAATTTTCTGTTCCAGTGGTATGATTGTGATATGTATAGTTTTTCCAAAAAAAAAACAGACAACTATTTGCTTAGAAATGCTTCGTGCGCGAACAACTTCTATTGGATATGGCTCATGTTGAAGCATGATACGCTCGACTGCTCTTTACTTTCGTGGTCACACGTATAAACCCATGATTCATCATCTGTCACGATGTCAAAGACGTGTACACATCGTATTTATTTTAACATTTCTCTCAACCATTCGACTTGAGCTTGCTTTTGAGCGATTGACAAATAGTTTGGAACATTTTTTTATTACCAAATTCCATATTATTTCATTCAGGAGATATTGAATTTATGTTGGTCTCACTAATGCCCACAATTGTCTCACTTGCACGATTGTTGACACGTCGTTTGTTTACATAACGATCTTGCAACATCAATTTGAGCTCAACATCAATTGTTCCCGGAGCAACAATCGATTTCGAACGCTCTGCACGAAATTCGTTTTGAAGTGATCTACGACCGTGATTGAGTTCACAATACCATCAATAAACAGTGGTAATTTGTGGAGATTTATAGCCAAAAATTTAAATACGTTCATCGATGCACTGTTACTGAGTTAGTTCACTTCGAAAGTTGTAAAAAATAATCGCGCAAAACTGTTCGCGATTTAATTTAAATTTTGGGGCCGAGATGAATATTTTAAGTAACAGTAAACAACACAAGTGTGGTATGTCAAACCATTCCGAGTATGTATAACAACAAAAATATGAAGCTTCACGACAAAGTTATGAATTGCTAGTTTGCAACATAAGGGTTCGCAAATCCCGAAATAATTTCCAATATCATGCCACGGTTTGACTACTTCTGCGCTTTTGTTATTTTCAACTTTTCCTGGTATTACCATAATAATATCTAATTAGGAAGAATCTTCCACTTATTTATATGTTCATGGTTAAAGAATGCATTTTAGATATATTACCGAACATATTAGCAGAAAGTGTTAAGCTAAAAA